AAATATTTATAAATAGTGTAGAAACATAATTTTGCAAACAACATATCCAAATTTTAAAAGGTGTTAAAGTTAGAGAGTATCAAAGTTGAATTCTTATTTGTTATAAATTTGACATTGGAGCCTTTATTTTGCCACTATTTCCAAACTAATAGATTTATAATCTTCAAAATTTCAGAAAATATTTATAAAAAGTGTAAAAACATAATTTTGCAAACAACATATTTAAATTTTAAAAGGTGTTAAAGTTAGAGAGTACCAAAGTTGAATTCTTATTTGTTATAAATTTGACATTGGAGCCTTTATTTTGCCACTATTTCCAAACTAATAGATTTATAAACTTCAAAATTTCAGAAAATATTTATAAATAGTAAAGAAACATAATTTTGCAAACAACATATCCAAATTTTAAAAGGTGTTAAAGTTAGAGAGTATCAAAGTTGAATTCTTATTTGTTATAAATTTGACATTGGAGCCTTTATTTTGCCACTATTTCCAAACTAATAGATTTATAAACTTGAAAATTTCAGAAAATATTTATAAATAGTGTAGAAACATAATTTTGCAAACAACATATCCAAATTTTAAAAGGTGTTAAAGTTAGAGAGTATCAAAGTTGAATTTTTATTTGTTATAAATTTGACATTGGAGCCTTTATTTTGCCACTATTTCCAAACTAATAGATTTATAAACTTCAAAATTTCAGAAAATATTTATAAATAGTGTAGAAACATAATTTTGCAAACAACATATCCAAATTTTAAAAGGTGTTAAAGTTAGAGAGTATCAAAGTTGAATTCTTATTTGTTATAAATTTGACATTGGAGCCTTTATTTTGCCACTATTTCCAAAATAATAGATATATAAACTTCAAAATTTTAGAAAATATTTATAAATAGTGTAGAAACATAATTTTGCAAACAACATATCCAAATTTTAAAAGGTGTTAAAGTTAGAGAGTATCAAAGTTGAATTCTTATTTGTTATAAATTTGACATTGGAGCCTTTATTTTGCCACTATTTCCAAACTAATAAGTAGATTTATAAACTTCAAAATTTCAGAAAATATTTATAAATAGTGTAGAAACATAATTTTGCAAACAACATATCCAAATTTTAAAAGGTGTTAAAGTTAGAGAGTATCTAAGTTGAATTCTTATTTGTTATAAATTTGACATTGGAGCCTTTATTTTGCCACTATTTCCAAACTAATAGATTTATAAACTTCAAAATTTCAGAAAATATTTATAAATAGTGTAGAAACATAATTTTGCAAACAACATATCCAGATTTTAAAAGGTGTTAAAGTTAGAGAGTATCAAAGTTGAATTTTTATTTGTTATAAATTTGACATTGGAGCCTTTATTTTGCCACTATTTCCAAACTAATAGATTTATGAACTTCAAAATTTCAGAAAATATTTATAAATGGGGGGTGGGTTGGCTCAGTGGTTAGAGTCATGACTTTGAGATCGGAAGGTCTCAGGTTCGAATCCCACCGTTGGCCGGGATTTTTTCATTTAATTTAATTATTTGAAATTAATTCTGATGCCTTGGTAGGATTCCCCACTCGACCATTCACTGTTGGGTTCTAATTAACAGTGCTGTTCCTAAAGTGGCGCTGGGAAACAGTAACAAAGCCTACACAGAACACGAGGCTAATGGCCGTAGTAGTCGACGCCGATGATACCAAATTAAAAAAAAAAAAAAAAAAAATATTTATAAATAGTGTAGAAACATAATTTTGCAAACAACATATCCAAATTTTAAAAGGTGTTAAAGTTAGAGAGTATCAAAGTTGAATTCTTATTTGTTATAAATTTGACATTGGAGCCTTTATTTTGCCACTATTTCCAAACTAATAGATTTATAATCTTCAAAATTTCAGAAAATATTTATAAATAGTGTAGAAACATAATTTTGCAAACAACATATCCAAATTTTAAAAGGTGTTAAAGTTAGAGAGTATCAAAGTTGAATTTTTATTTGTTATAAATTTGACATTGGAGCCTTTATTTTGCCACTATTTCCAAACTAATAGATTTATGAACTTCAAAATTTCAGAAAATATTTATAAATGGGGGGTGGGTTGGCTCAGTGGTTAGAGTCATGACTTTGAGATCGGAAGGTCTCAGGTTCGAATCCCACCGTTGGCCGGGATTTTTTCATTTAATTTAATTATTTGAAATTAATTCTGATGCCTTGGTAGGATTCCCCACTCGACCATTCACTGTTGGGTTCTAATTAACAGTGCTGTTCCTAAAGTGGCGCTGGGAAACAGTAACAAAGCCTACACAGAACACGAGGCTAATGGCCGTAGTAGTCGACGCCGATGATACCAAATTAAAAAAAAAAAAAAAAAAAAAATATTTATAAATAGTGTAGAAACATAATTTTGCAAACAACATATCCAAATTTTAAAAGGTGTTAAAGTTAGAGAGTATCAAATTTGAATTTTTATTTGTTATAAATTTGACATTGGAGCCTTTATTTTGCCACTATTTCCAAAATAATAGATATATAAACTTCAAAATTTTAGAAAATATTTATAAATAGTGTAGAAACATAATTTTGCAAACAACATATCCAAATTTTAAAAGGTGTTAAAGTTAGAGAGTATCAAAGTTGAATTCTTATTTGTTATAAATTTGACATTGGAGCCTTTATTTTGCCACTATTTCCAAACTAATAAGTAGATTTATAAACTTCAAAATTTCAGAAAATATTTATAAATAGTGTAGAAACATAATTTTGCAAACAACATATCCAAATTTTAAAAGGTGTTAAAGTTAGAGAGTATCTAAGTTGAATTCTTATTTGTTATAAATTTGACATTGGAGCCTTTATTTTGCCACTATTTCCAAACTAATAGATTTATAAACTTCAAAATTTCAGAAAATATTTATAAATAGTGTACAAACATAATTTTGCAAACAACATATCCAAATTTTAAAAGGTGTTAAAGTTAGAGAGTATCAAAGTTGAATTCTTATTTGTTATAAATTTGACATTGGAGCCTTTATTTTGCCACTATTTCCAAACTAATAGATTTATAAACTTCAAAATTTCAGAAAATATTTATAAATAGTGTAGAAACATAATTTTGCAAACAACATATCCAAATTTTAAAAGGTGTTAAAGTTAGAGAGTATCTAAGTTGAATTCTTATTTGTTATAAATTTGACATTGGAGCCTTTATTTTGCCACTATTTCCAAACTAATAGATTTATAAACTTCAAAATTTCAGAAAATATTTATAAATATTGTAGAAACATAATTTTGCAAACAACATATCCAAATTTTAAAAGGTGTTAAAGTTAGAGAGTATCAAAGTTGAATTCTTATTTGTTATAAATTTGACATTGGAGCCTTTATTTTGCCACTATTTCCAAACTAATAGATTTATAATCTTTAAAATTTCAGAAAATATTTATAAAAAGTGTAAAAACATAATTTTGCAAACAACATATTTAAATTTTAACAGGTGTTAAAGTTAGAGAGTACCAAAGTTGAATTCTTATTTGTTATAAATTTGACATTGGAGCCTTTATTTTGCCACTATTTCCAAACTAATAGATTTATAAACTTCAAAATTTCAGAAAATATTTATAAATAGTGTAGAAACATAATTTTGCAAACAACATATCCAAATTTTAAAAGGTGTTAAAGTTAGAGAGTATCTAAGTTGAATTCTTATTTGTTATAAATTTGACATTGGAGCCTTTATTTTGCCACTATTTCCAAACTAATAGATTTATAAACTTCAAAATTTCAGAAAATATTTATAAATAGTGTAGAAACATAATTTTGCAAACAACATATCCAAATTTTAAAAGGTGTTAAAGTTAGAGAGTATCAAAGTTGAATTCTTATTTGTTATAAATTTGACATTGGAGCCTTTATTTTGCCACTATTTCCAAACTAATAGATTTATAATCTTCAAAATTTCAGAAAATATTTATAAAAAGTGTAAAAACATAATTTTGCAAACAACATATTTAAATTTTAACAGATGTTAAAGTTAGAGAGTACCAAAGTTGAATTCTTATTTGTTATAAATTTGACATTGGAGCCTTTATTTTGCCACTATTTCCAAACTAATAGATTTATAAACTTCAAAATTTCAGAAAATATTTATAAATAGTGTAGAAACATAATTTTGCTAACAACATATCCAAATTTTAAAAGGTGTTAAAGTTAAAGAGTATCAAAGTTGAATTCCTATTTGTTATAAATTTGACATTTACTGAATCAATATAATCCTGACATTCTTTGTATAACTGAATGTTGGTGTAATAATATCCCATTGCCTTTTAACTCTAAAGATTACATTATCGCCAATTCATAAGTTAGAAGCAACAAAATTCATGGTGGATCACTTATTTTAATAAAAGAAACCATTACATATAAGCCAGTACATTTTATAAATAGCCTATCAGAAGAAATGCATTTCAAAAGCTGTGCTATATTGGTTTCTGTAAAAAATATAAACTCTATTATTATAAATGTCTACAGATCTCCCTCTGGAAATATTGAACTTTTTATCAAAACATTGTCATATATTTTAAATCGTGTTGTTGTTTTTTATGATGCTGTATTTTTATGTGGATTTTAACATTGACTTTCTAACACATTCTTATAATAAACATCTCCTTGCTGATCTTATTCAGAGTTTTATCCTAACTTGATAAAAACACCAGCAAGATTTATCTTGAGCTACTCTTACTAATAAGAGTAATAAGTCACCTGGAGGAGTGTGTTCTCTTAGTTCAAAAACACCCTGTATATTAGGTATCTTAGAGTGATGGGACAAATTTAAAAGTAACCAATGTTTGTCCAATATTTAAGGATTGTTGAATAATGACTCAAACTGTTTTATATATGAATACAGGCATCAAAAATGTTAAGTATTGTTATTATACTGATAATAACACTTCCTATGTTATCTTTATAATATTTATCTGCTGGCTAACATAATAAGATAAGTAAAATGTTTGTTGTCACCTTTTTCTATCAGAAGGATTTTGTTTTTCTCCTCGAAAGGCACCTCATCATCATTATCCAATCCAGCTTCTGATGCTTTTCGTTTCTTTCTGTCGAGCGCCTCTTCTAGCATACGATCAATTTCGTCGTCAGGCACATCCGAATCGAAATCATCAACTGAATTATCGGAGTCATCATTGCCTTCGGTCTCGTCCAAAATATGAAATCTATTAATTTCGTTATCGTTGCTGCCGTTTTCTATGGGATGTTCTTTTTTTGAAAAAGGACATTCCTGTTTTTCACTGTCGGTTGTAAATCCATTCTGGTGTTGGCTCATTTTTTTAATTAATAACTGATGTTCTGTTTCCACACGGTTACAATCAAAAGAATATTCCAACCAATTTCGATCAAAAAATTGAAATATTCATTGAAAAGTACCGAGGAAAACTCTCCACGTAACTAATTATTATGCCTAAAATTTAAAATTGTTACGTAATAGATAACTTTTAGTCACCACTAGAAATAAAAAATTAAAAATTGTTAAAAAAACTACGTGCGTTCACGAAAACTGCAGCCATTAGAAATTTTTCGATTTTGACGTTTGACTTTTGACTGTTGAAATGTTGAAAAGACTCACGGTTCGTAGGAAAGACCTATCTAGACGAGTAAATGAAGCAAGGACACTGATTTAAACATTAGTAAATAACGTTGATTCATTGATTTTCAAAATATTGCTACTGTCATGTTAGTTAGGAAAACAAGAAGGAAAGCGCTTCGCGTATGTTTCCCAAATATGCATAAAATATTTGTTTATCTGAGACAAAGCATACATTTACCAATGATGCTGATTAACCGTTATGCAGCCCTACATACACATATGTTGTATGGGTAATGTAACCTCAGACATCACAACACATACTTTGATAATCAAAGTATGTGCATCACAAAATTAAATTTCGTCGATTCATAGGCGTAATATTAGTTTTTTTTTGGGATTCATGTGCGTTTAAAATATCTGCGCCACCGGGAAAAAAACGACAAGGAACTAAATATGATACGATTAGCTTTGTAACAAAATTTTTTCCCTTAAAAAGTTACAGAGTAATTTTATAAATTTCCCATAAAGTTATTAATACCTCAGATGTTTTATTTTTATATGTATAATTTTTTTATAGTTACTGTACTGCGTAGAATTCAATAACGTACTGATTATTTTTTGAAGGGGTTTAATTGTTTAGCTAAAATATACATTTGTATGGTTTTAATGGAACACCCTATATATTATTATTTACTGTAGTTACTGTGATTGCATACAATTCAGTGACGTACCGATTATGTTTTCAAAGGGTTTAATTTGCAACTAAGATACAAGGGCGGGTCCGAGACGAATTTTCGGGGAGACCATTGCCTTTAGCCATTCCCTTATTAGCATATTTTTTTGAATAGAAGGCTCATAAATCGTAAAAATTTTGATTTCGAGGGGGGGGGGGGACGGAGGCATGGCCCCAACAGCCTCCCCCCTGAAGCCGCCCTTGCCAAGATATACATTTGCATAAATGTTTTAATGAAACCCTATATATTATAAATTTTTTTACGTTACTGTATTTGGGTACAATTCAGTGACGTACCGATTATTTTTTCAAAGGTGTTTAATTTTCCAGCTAAAATATACATTTATATGTATGTTTTAATGGAACACTCTGTATATTAAAATTTTTCTTGCAGTTACTGTATTTCCGTAAACTTCAGTGACGCACAAATACATTATTTTTGAAAGGTTTAATTTTCAATCTAAAATATATATTTGTATGCTTTTATGGAACATCCTGTGTTTTAATTTTCTTGTTCCTCTATTTTCGTAAATTTCAGTGACGTACCGATTATTTTTTCAAGGGGTTTAATTTCCAGCTAAAATATACATTTGTATGTTTTACTGGAACACCCTATATGTTATAATTTTCCTCACTGTACTATAGTTGCGTAGAATTCAGTGACGTACCGATAATTTTTTCAAAGGGGTTTAATTTTTTAGCTAAAATATATATTAATATTTATGTTTTAATGGAATACTCTGTATTTTATAATTTTCCTTGCAGTTACTGTATTTGCGTAGAATTCAGTGACGTACTAATTATTTTTTCAAAGGGATTTTATTTTCCAGCTAAAATATACTTTTTAATATGAAGGTTTTAATGAAACACCCTGTATATTATTTTCTTTAGAGTTACTTATTTGGGTAGAATTCATTGACGTACCGATTATTTTTTTCAAAGGGTTTAATTTTAGATCTAAAATATACATTTGTTTTTATTGGAACACCTTGTATATTTTAATTTTCCTTAAAGTTACTGTACTTGCGTGAAATTCAGTGACGTACTGATAATTTTTTCAAGGGGTTTGATTTTCAGTTAAAATATACATTTGTATGTGTTTTAATGGAATACCCTTTATATTATAATTTTCCTCAGTTACTGTATTTGCATAGACTTCAGTGACGTACCAATTATTTTTTCAAAGGAGCTTAATTTTCCAGTTAAAATATACATTTGTATTTTAATGGAACATCTGTACATTTTAATTTTTCTTACTTACTATATTTAGGTAGAATTCAGTTATTATTTATTTATTATTATTTTTTCGATTGCCCCGCAGGTACGCCTTTGGAATTACTGGATCAACTCTAACAGGTCAAAAAATTAATTAAAAAAAAATAATTTGGATTATAATATTTATTAAAAAAAATGTACCAATTATGTACAATTGTTCGGCAAAGTCAAAATACACAAAAAATAAATACAGTCAAAAAAAAACACTATCATTCTTAAAAACTTTGGTTTTAAAATATTTTTACATACTATAAAATAAGATGTTATCCTCTAATAATAAAATACATCCAAAAATACAACATTGATACCTTCTTGACATGTATTATATTATTTGAAGATTTTAAAAATAACTAACTAAACTATACAAGTACAAAAATAAAGACTAGATAACAAAACCAATAATAATAACCAAAATATTAATTCACAACTTTTTTTTTTTAATAAGGTCCTAAAATTTGATGAGAAAAAGAATTTTGAAGGTTTTATAAGATCACAGAAACATACTTATTTATATTACTTAAAAAAAGGCAACACAAACATTTGTTATTAAAATTGAGAATAAAAAGACAAAGGACAATACAAATTAAATAAAAAAATAAATAACATGAAGGACAGTAAGAGAGAAAAAAAAGGTAATCCGAGTTTTTAAATTTAATTGAAGCACAACGTCTGAAAAGAAAATTCAAAAGATATTGGCTGGAAATAAACATCTACAAATACAGACGAATATAGACGAACTAAAGATTAAATTACAGAAGCTGCAGAAAATGAATGAGACCAATAGATAGCTAGAAAAACAAGATAACGTCCAAATTGGTGCTAGATTTCTGTGAAGAACTCAAGAGGTCTATAAGTCTTCAAAATGATGTCAATTACTTATACAACTAATTAAAAAGGAAAGATAGATGTCCAAATTGAACATCATGGCTCAAGAACTTGACATAAAGGTCATAAATGACATAACAGTCTTCAAAATGATGTTAGTTGTTTTTACAACTGATTTAAAAAGGAAAGACAGATTTCCAAGATGGTTATCATGGCTGAAGAACTTGAGACAAAGGCACAACAGTCTTCAAAATGATGTCAGTTGTTTTTACAACTTATTTAAAAAGGAAAGAGATGTCCACATTGAACATGATGGCTCAAGAACTTGACATAAAGGTCAGAAATGACATAACAGTCTTCAAAATGATGTCAGTTGTTTTTACAACTTATTTAAAAAGGAAAGAGATGTCCAAATTGAACATCATGGCTCAAGAACTTGACATAAAGGTCATAAATGACATAACAGTCTTCAAAATGATGTCAACTGATTTAAAAATGAAAGACAGATGGCCAAGATGGGTATCATGGTCGAAAAACTTGAGACAAAGACATAACAGTCTTCAAAATTATGTCAGTTACCCAAAATTAAGCAAGGATTAACTGCAACGGTTTCTGCTCCAATTAATAATCACCTACATACCAGTGGTTTATTTTGGAATACACCATTGTCCAAAATGGACATAATAGCTCAAGAACTTGAAGCAGAGGTCTAGAATGGCACAACAGTCTTCAAAATGGTGTTAGTTACTCAGCATCTAGAGTAAAGGACCAACTGCATCTTGCATTGGCTAAGACAGTCCTTATAGTATCCTAGAACCACTTGTGTGCATGTCTGAGACAAACATCCCAACAAGCTCATGAGAGAAACATTCACTAAAAGAAGAAGAACACCTCGTGATATTAAACTGGGATCGACTGCAATAATTTTTGCTTCAATTGAGAATCGTTTATATGCCAGATAGTGGTAGACCTTTGGGAATAAGGAAAAATGTGTCCAAAAAAGACATAATGATTGAAGAACGTATGGCAAAGGCACAAAATGATATCAGCTATTCAGAACGGATCAATCATATCTTGCATTGGTTCAGAGACAGTCCTCATATTGTTAAAAACACAGCTGTGTACATATCTGAACCCTCAGATAGATAATCCCAACAAGCTCATGAGAAAAACATTCACCAAAAGAAAAAGAACACCTAAAATTAAACTGGGATCAACTGCAAAGGTTTTTGCTCCAATTAAGAATCATTCATACATCAGATAGTGTTAGAACTTCGGAACTAAAGAAAGATATGTCTAAAATGGATATAATGACTGAAGAACTTAAGGAATAGGTTTTGAATGTCAATTAAGACCTGTTTGCCAAAGTCCTAGAATATTGTAAGTAAGAGAAGAAAGGGAAGATCAAAAAAGTGATAAGATAGAGGAATTGGATTTTGTTATGAAACCCCTCGACTCGGTAACAAGTTTTGTGTTGCAGGTATCAAAAATAATGTAACTTTAAGGCACTTAAATTATATCTAACGAGTCTTCAACAATATTCGTATCTTACGTGCCTGAAAATTGGACGTTCTTAGTATGTCTATTAGGTCAGTGACATTATTAAGTTATTAATGTTACTTTTAACCAATTGTTGACATCAATTCAGTCACGTGCGATACGGATATCGTTGAAAACTTTTAACTTGAGATCATGTACTATTGTCTAGTCTATTATATATATTTATATATACCTCTAAAATTAAACTGGTCCAAACGCGAATTATACTGGTAATTCAGAGATCAAAGATATAAAATATAAAAATTAAAGGTATTTTTGGTTACGAAAAACATTTTTTAACTTTCAGAAATAAAATCGTTTTAAACATTAAATAACACAAAAAACAAATACGCATTCTGCACGCCAACGATACATATATGTAACGCGTTTTAAATAGCACAACATTAAAAAAAAACACGTGAAATATGAACTTGGAAATACTGAGTGTGCGCTAAAATTCGCCTCATCTTTGACTGTTGACAGTTGAGAGTTGCCAGAAGTCAATGACAATGATTAACACTTGAGAAGTTTACTTGTTAATATTAAGATATACGAAAATAAAAGTTAATGTATCCAAAGAAAAACTTGTTTGATAACAAAAATGTTACTAAAATAAAGAAAATTTCTTTTAAGGCGTTTAACTCGGTCGTTTAAAAAAAAGGTTTAAAAAGAGTAAAATTTTCCTGTACTATTAAAAATAATATTCCATCCTTATAGTCCAGGAATTTTTTATATAAATTTGGTCAACAGTAAACTATTATGATTTTTTTTAATTACATCATTTTCATGGAGTCTTGTCGGGTGTATTACGTATTTACATAGGAAATACTATCGTCATGCTGTTTAAAAATCGTTACTTACACGCAATTAAAAGAAAATCAAGAACTGTGAGTACGAATACCATCAAAACAAACAAACTATTAAAAATAAATATTCTCCACTTCTGTGGGCGTCTTCGGTTGTCCGTACTGCGGACTTTCGTATCCTTGAACGGTTTTCGTTAGCGTCGTTTCGGGTTTTTCTGGAGTAGAGGGCGCCACTTTCGATACGGCGTTGTCTATAACGCCGACGAGAAACTCTATGGTTTTCGGATCGACGTTTAACATGGTGCAGATGTCTCGTAGGGCTGTTTCGGTGCAGAGGAGCTTCAGGCCTCTGACTGCGGAGCTGATGCAGGCAGCCGCTATGACCGAGGGTGGCGTTTGAATCAAGCTGGGTTCTGAAACAAAAAGGAATGGTTTAGTACAATTTACGATTGGACTGTATAGGGTGCAAATAAGATTTAAAAAAAATTTTCTGTCTAGTTATTACAGGCTTTTTTTGGTTATTTTGTAATAACTATTGTATCACCCTTGTAAATGTTTAGAAGATGAACTAAATACATACATTTTCCACAAAGTTTTTTTGTAAAGTACCTTTATTTTTGACAAACCTCGTATTCGACTGATAAATTTGATATTTGATGGTTGTATTTTAGGTTTTAGACCATGCTTATCTTATCATCAAATATTTTGCACCAGTATTTAAAAAAAAATGGTCTACAATTTCCTCAAAAGCTCTCTTATATGATTAGAAACGGAATTCGATTTTAATAACCCAGCTTGGTACGTCGGTTAAACTGACATGTACCAACTACCCCTACCGGTAATGCCAACTGTTACCATCTTATTGAAATTAATTGAACGTCTTGTCTTGTAAGTAAGTCGTAGAAAACCGTAAGGCAGTATGTCGTTCGTGAGGTACTCGCTCAAGCGTAAACTCAAAAAGCAACAGAAGGAACTTTCGTCGGATGACTGATAAATAAACAAGAACAAGGAAGAGCTCGTGCCAACGAGAACAATTACCGACATTCTTCGTTGGTTTCCATATGGAATCGCTGTCTTATTATAACCCGTGCTCCTTTTTAATCGCTTTTGAATGCATTTATGATAATTTGGCATGACAAAAATGTTAATTAAATGTAACATTATTAATAAAAAAACTTCTATCTTTTGGTAATGTTAAAAAAATATCAAAATAAATACAAATTAGTATTAAGCTGTAAAATTTTGTAATATTTTAATAGTTGTTACCAAAAGGCTTATCTTAAAAATGTGAGCCAATAAATAAGTAATAAAAAAATAAAATAATATACAGGATGTTTTAAAATAAAGTACAGAAAATGTAGGACAAGTAGATCTTATTATTAAGAAAAGCTAAGTATAATTTTCCTGTAAATTTCATAAATATAGTTTTCTAAATATTTTTCCTTGAGTTAAGTGAAGACATTAATTTAAAAATATGTTAGTTAATCGCCAATATTATACTCTTCACACTGTGAAGAGTATTATAGGTTTATTTTCGAGAAACCAAATTTTTTAATATTGAACCAAAGTTATTAATTTGTATACCAATTATTTTTTCTCGTTTACACGCTCCAGTTTTAAGCTTCGACCGGTAAAGATGCCTCGGGGTCGACGTACATATCGTTACACACACTCCAACGTTAAACCTCAACAGTCAACATGTCTCAGGGTCGCTACACATATCATTTTCAAACTTCATACACTCACTTCGTTATCGTTCTTATAGTGAGTCACTTTCGAGGAACTAAAATTTTTAATATTGATCCATATTTAAAAATTCATCTAATCAAATTTTAAACAACTTTCACGTTGTTTTTTATCAAAAATGTAAAATGATATCAACTTGAAATTTTCAGTAAAAATCAAGCTCTATTAAAAGGGTCGGTCTTTTCACCTTCAGATAAACTTCTAGATAACTAACTGACGAATATATTATCTGAGAGTTACCTGTTTATACATCAGTGCAGTATTTTATCAAGAATTCCATTAGGGTCGGTCTTTTCACCTTCAGATAAAGTGTCAGGTAATTTTTATCTCCCAAGTAACTTAAAAAGTAATCTTTTCACTTCTGGGTAAACCTAACTTCTCAATGATAAATTATCTTAATTATGAAATTTCTAATAAAATACTTCACTGATGGATAAACAGGTAGTTACATAACCACATAAGGTTAAAAACTACTGGATACCTACCACACATATTATTTACTTGAAAAAACAGAACATTAATTATCTGACAGACAGTCAGCCAGTTGCAAGAACGATTGTTAAAATCTCTCGTTAGCTAAAGAACAAATAACTAACTGAGATTAAAACTGGCAACGGCGCTTTTCCAACTGACAGTCTGTCGCTTCACAGCTGATCACGGGAGATTTTTAAAGTTTAAGTTAATTTGGTAATATTTTTTCGAAAACTAATTACAAATAAAGTAAAAAATGAAATTGAGGCTCAACCTTTACGGCTATGGTTAAATGTTAACACTATCCCTATCTTTTTTCGACATCGGCTCATATTTTTTAATATACAAGGACAGTCGGTTCAGAGAAAAAATGTTTTACACATGAATATAATTTCTTAAAATAAATAGAATGGCTTAAATGAAGAAAAGGTTCCAAGAAGTCACTGGAAAAAGAGGAAAATACTCATTTAACTGCCCTTCTAGTAGTGCCCGATTAAAAATCTGTGATTTGTGGTTTAAAGCAACAGTATTTAAATATAGTTTGTCCCTTTTATATAAACCAAAACTATTTTTTCTTGTACTTACTTTACATTTTCTCTTCCCGTTTGTCATGGAAAAGCACATTTCTTTCTACTGTACATTATTTTTTCAAATAGAAGTACATAATTAAAAACATGTTTAAGTTTTTATCATGTGTGCAAACCCCATTTACTGTGGTAATATTTCCAATGTATTTTCAATTTTTAACAGACTTCAAAAAAAGAAGTAGATAGGTTCTCAATTCATCGGAATATATTTTTTTATGGATATTCAGCGACAATTCTTTACGATGTTGTCCGATTTCTGATTATTTTTTTGTTAGAAAGGGGGCTCCTCAGAGATGGTTTCATATATAAATTTGGTAAAGATCTGATGATGGGATTCATGAGAAAATAATCACTCTTCGTATTTTGTAGTCAGTTTTTTTAAATTAATTTTGTAACTTATACATTTTTTAATGAATCAAAGTAAAAAACTGTTTAAATTGGGAAATTTCTAAAGTTCAGTATCTATTTTTTAGTTAAAAAATGAAAACTGGAGGAGAGTTGGTAAAATCTCTGGTATGAGAAATAAATTCACATTTGACCTATTCTTGAAAATCATATACAGTTCCTTTAATCCCTTCAATTTGGATGCTATATTTCTTTGCTAATAAACTAATGCTAGAATATATTTTTTATTTAAGAACAACTTTCTATTTGTACAATATTGGCATTTCTAGATTGTTGAGAAAATTAAATAATTATGATATGATAATTAGCTTTTATAGGTTGTGTAATAGTTGAAATTTAGAATATTAAATAATTGCTATGTAAATTACACTTATTTACCCTAATATATTTGCTTTCACATTTATAATTTACAGATTTGTAGGTCATAAATAAAACACCAAATTCATTTTAAAATTTTATTTTTTAGGATTAAATTAATATACACAAAATACATAACATAATAAAAAAATATAATAAATCTACAATAAATAAAAATACGTTTAATTTGCCCATCATTATTAAGAATTCTAATTCTAGAAAATAAACATTCAATTCAGGATTTCTTTTTGGTTATGACAGGTTTCAAGTTTACTAGTAATTTTGTGTTAAAATTTACAGTTTGCCTAACGTATTGGATATGTCTACTTAGCCAGTTCCACATATTTAATAAATGTATAAAAAGAAATGGATTATTTCAACATAGGTACAAACAATAAAAATGTTATTACTGATAGTAGTTTACTGCTAAATATTTACTTTTTCTGAAAATAGGCAGGAAAAAACTATAAAATAATATTAAATATGGTTGAGAATAATGAGAATGTATAAATACATAACATTTATACGAATTAAAAAGTTTTTAACAATATAAGTAGAGATACCAAGCTCCACAGTTATATGACTTAAAATTATTCATGCCATCATCTCATGAAATATTTTAAAATACTTAGCAAACACCTATATTACTACAAAGTAATGCCTATTTAAAAATAAAAATATATTGCTACAAGGCTATACCTCCGTCATAAGCCAAACCCCCATAACTGACAAATTACAAATATTTGAGGTTATTTGACCATTCTGATACTAACCCATTTTTCTTTTTAAAAAGTAAACAAAATACCAGCAATTTTTATTCTGTATCCTAAAAAGTCAACATGATTCTACAATGTAACTAACATTTTTCTAGAGAATTCTTATCAAAAATCAACCCAAAACATTAAATCACACTTATTTATATAACTAGTTAAAAACATTATTCAAAACTTGTCTTTAATTCAACAAAAGCAGCTATATTGGTAACACATATCAAAATACTGGCACTAATAAATTTATTTTATTGCATATATCTTCATTCTATAGTTTGTGTAGTTACTGGGGCAGTATAGATATTTAAAGTTTTATTTGTGAGCCAAGCCTGTCTTGTTTCAAGATTAGTGGTCCATACAACAATATTTTTAATTTTGTTGTGTTACAAAGTTTTCCTTTTTTAACTGTATGGTTTTGCTTGAGAGTCTGTGCAGGGGGACCGGAAGAGTCTGTGCAGGGGGACCGGAAGAGTCTACTTGGACCAGGCAAGGGTTTAGTCGGGTTTAGTAGATTCCTTGGGAGTGAAGAGACTACTAGGAGAAGCAGCTACGGAGACTCCACTGAAAAGAGGCATAATGTCAATTATTGATTCGTGCACCTACAGAATAATAAATAAATATATATTATTCTAGAGCTCTTAAAAGTATGTTCCGAAATATAATGATATAACAAAATTTATAGGAAATTCATCATTGAAGAAGTTATAACTCGAACCTACATAGAGATTCAACGATGATATTTAGCTGCAGTTAACTAGGACTCGTGTAATTATTTATTGCAATGCAAGAATCTAATTAAACCTACAGTTATACTTTACTAAAATATGTAAAAGTTCCCTTCAATTCCAAATTTGTCTTCATATTGCACTAATTTTCTTACCAACATACAAAGTATTTGTGATAATTATACAGGATGGTCCAAATTTGACAGGTTTATAAGATATTACTAAATTAGCAGGGGATAAAGCACATTTGATCTCACCTTTTTTTTAAACTAAACATGTTATTTTATATCCCGTTATAAATTCCTCCCCTAAGTAAAATGTAAGCGTGATTTTTAAAATATCATTATTTTGT